TAGGAATGGTGATTGCCTTTGTTAACTGACAATACGTCGTCGATATATCTAAATGTAGAGTTGAGGGCCACAGCAAGTCTTTTCTTCATTTCACGCATAAGATTTTGCACAAATTCTGCTTTTTGCACAAATTCTGCTTCATGAATACAAAAATAGGTCGGCTAATAACGGAGCGCTTTTGGTACCCATGGGAATTCCGGTAGATTGTTGGTAGACCTGGTCTCCAAAAACCACATACGTTGATATTGTCAATCAGAAACTCAAGCATCTTTTTGATGTCATGATTAGAGTACTTGCCTGTGCAATCAGAACAAATTTTTTAACAATTTTTTAAACAAATTTGTGTTTTAACAAATTAATTTTGCAAATGACCAATGACCAGGTAATTAAATTTACGAGTTTCATTTTTATTGAAAAAGCAGCTGTCAATGATATCAGAAAACCTAGACTTTAATTTATCGTGGGGAATGGTTGTGTAAAAAGTTGAAAAGTCGTAAGTTGTTAAGCTGTTGATTTTGGTAAAACCTTGTGATTTCAATTTGTCCAAAAGTTGTGAAATATTTGAGTATTCACATCTGATTCACACCACATATATTGTTGTACAGTACTCTTGACGTTTTTCCTTCACTACTGTCAATATCTTAGTGATGAGTAAAGAAAGAGGCCTGGTTGAGCATTTACTGGAACCCGCAATCTTTGTTTGTAAGGACGTATAGAGTAACAATGAACTTTTTTCTCTAATGTATGGGATGTGTTTTAACGTACATGTACATGGATGGGTATAATAAAGTTATTTTTCTGTTACTTACTTATTGCACGTTCTTCCTCTAATGGTATTAGTTTATAATTGTCTTGGTATATAATGTATTTGATGTAATGGGTATATTTATAACTTTTTCAAATACCGGTACATTGATTCCTCAATTGTTTTTATTTGTTGAAGTTGTGTTTTCTTATGTGTATGTACAAAATATCATTTATGTTGTGTCGTACCTGTGAGTATAAATGGCAAAAGTTTTATTTGGTATGAAAATGCTGCGACATATTTCAAATTTTTAAAAATAATTAGGTCGACTCGATATATCCCCGTGTTCTTGAAATATTAGACACCATAGAGTCCGAGACAACTGTTTCATATTTGGATAGTTTACCGGAAAAAATATAGTACCCTTATCACCTGCATATTGTGTTTATGTCTCTCGTTTGATTCGATACGCTAGAGCATACCGGTTTTCTACATGAGATCAATTTCTAAAACAAAGAAAGTTGTTGACAAACAAGTTGAAGAAACAAGGATATCAATAATATCTTTTGAAGTCATCTTTTCGCAAGTTTTTGGTCGATTCAATGACCTTGTCAACTAATACAACCTATGTCAAATGCTGAATGAAGTGTTTCATCCGCATTGTCAGTTCATTATTTAACACAGAATTATCCGATCGTGATAAGGAGCACGCCGTGGGTGTGTCCAGTTTGCAGGGGATGCTCACTTCTCCAAAGCACCTGATCCCCTATGATTTTTTTTTAGATGTCCGTGTTTGCTCTTCTCCTGATTTGTATTGTTTGAATGCACTTTTGAGCGTGAATATTGTTCAATTCTCTCTCATAATGTCTTTACATTAGTAAGGCAATAAAAATACCTCTTGGAATTCCAGTAAGGCAAGGTATCTTAAAGGTCAAGTCTGTTAGAATTCTAAATGGACATTTTCCAAAAAAATATCTCAAGCATGGTCCAACTTGTCCAAAATCCGAATACATGGCATTTAACCCGAAGCTTATCTTAAAATTACTTGTGCTGACGTCGAGCAAGTCAGAGTGCGCCATGTTTGAGTGTTTTCTATTACAGATATTATCAGTCCTACTTTAATCAAAACTATTTTTATAATGAGAATATACCATTGCAATAGGTTATTCATAAAGTTTCTATACCTTTCTGTATATTTATATAGATCTTAATATTTCTTTTCTTCTCTGTGTTTCTACTTTCTGTACCTTTTTTCACAGGAATGGGTGATCTAAACTGTAAGGACACCAATAAGTATTGCCTGACGTGGTCCCGCCACGGACACTGTGTTAGAAATCCCCCTTACATACTCAACTACTGCAAGGCAGCCTGCAGGGTCTGTACTCCAGCAGCATAGAGACATGCAGTGTGTCTGGGAGGATTTATGTCTTTATTAACAGAATACTCCAGCTTAATGATAATTAATAAGTTTTTTTGGCGAAGATCTTCAGTAATACAAAGTATTCTACGTGCAGACCTCCCCCTCCTCCTCTAGGAGAATTTAGTAGTGATCCCTTTTAGACCTTAGAAAAGAAATTTGAAAGCCCACCTTCAAAGTTATGTTTCTTCCTTTCTTGTTTGACTAGAGAATATTTGGGTTTTAATTGTGTTTTTCGAAAATGGACATCTACCAAACCCAACTCCCACCCAGGAATATTCCTTGATCAGCTCTCCTTGTGTTATATCATGTCAAATTAGTAATGTTTTATATGTTGAATTAAAACTTTAAAACATGCGCTACATGTACATCAGTATGATTGTCAGAAACCCAACGAAAAATCTCTATGATTTGAATGTAAAGACATACTTTATAGAATAAATGAGATTGTTAATTCATCATACATCTGCATTTTTATAATAATACCTGATATGTTAGAGTTGAATGCAAAATTGTGCTACTTGTGTTTGTATGCAAGGTCTTTTTTCTTGTGAAAATGAATATGAATTTATCTACAATCATGTGTTTTCCTATCTAATCTTTATTTTTCATATTTAACTTATTTTTCGTAACAGTATGTTTTATATTCTATAAAATATATCGATATTCTTTCATGCTTTTATAAATGTATGTTCTCGATGTGTTTATTTTTTAATTGTAAAATGACCTATTATGTTTTCAGTTTATAAATTGATGAATTATATGAAAAGCTTCAGCCTTGAAATAAAATTTGAATTGTTCGGTTTTCGTAGTTTTGCCTGAAATTCAACACCACCTCTATAACATCCAAAATGTAAATCTTCTCAAAGAAAGGGACCCCTCTGCAAAGAGAGATACATGTGTTATAGAAATACCCTGTCTTTCCCACAGTCTCTGTGATAGAAATACCCTTCCTTTATTACAATTTCTGTGATATAAATACCCTTTTTTCCCACAATCTCTGTGATAGAAATACTCTGTCTTTCCCACAATCTCAGCGATAGAAATACACCTGTACTTCCTTTCCTCGATATCTCTTTAATAGAAATATACATTCTTTCCTACAATATCTATAATAGAAATACCCCTTCTTTTCCACAATCTCTTGATCGAAATTACCTGCTTTATGCCTCTATGATAGACATGTCCCCTCATTGACTACATATCATTATACGATAGAAATACCTATAAACCCCTCTTTTCCAATAATCCTTTTCTGCAAACAACTATGATATAAAAACTTCTTTGCTTCAATCTCTCTTTTGAAATCCCTCTCCCTCTCCCACATTCCTCTAAGACAGAAATACCCTTCCTTCCCTACAATCTATAAAAAAAAATACCCTGGTTTTCTTCAGTCGATCGCTAGGATAGAAATACTACTTCTGTCCTACATGTACAAGATCATCCCTTCTTTCGTAGATACCTCTGAAATAGGATTACCCGGATCTTCTTTCCTAAAATATCTGTAAAAGAAATTTTTCTTTGTTCCATCACTATCTGTAAAGAAATGCCCCTCCCTTCCCACATACCATTACGTTAGAAATATGCCTTCTTTCCTACATACATCCATGAAAGAAATAGCCCTCTTTCCCAGCATACATGTACCTCTATGATATAAATACGCTCCTGTCCAACATACCTCTATGATAAAATAACCCTTCTTTTCCAACAATCTCTATAATAGAAATACCCCTTCTTTCCTAAATACATTTATAATAGAAAAACCCCTTCTTTCCTGAATATTTTTATAATGGAAATACCCCTTCTTTCCTTAATTTTTAAAATAGAAAAACCCCTTCTTTCCTAAATGCATGTACATTGTACTTTTATAATCGAAATACCCCATCTTTCCTATATACTTTTATAATAGAAAAAACCTTTCTTTCCAGAATATTTTTATAACTAAATACATGTACTTTGATACTAGAAATACCCCTTCTTTCGTTAATATTTTTATAATAGAAATACTTCTTTCCTAAATACTTTGATAATAGAAATACCCCTTCTTTCCTGAATATAAGATAGAAATATCCCTTCTTTCCTACATATCTCTATAATAAAAATACAACTTTCCAAGAATTTTAATCTCTATGAACGAAATGCCTATCCTCTCCCATATACCTCTATGATAATTTTTTTTTCTTCAATATCTTTGATAGAAATCCACCTTCTTCCTTATTTCTCCACGAAAGAAATCCCCCTTTCAAACATAAGTCTATTATAGAATTTTATCTTTTTCCTTCAATTTTTATGATAGAAGTTCCCCTTCTTCACATCATTCTCTAGGAAAAAAATCCCTCTTATCTCACATACCTTTATGATAGAAATACCCCTCTTTTCCTACATATCCCTATAGTAGAAGTATCCCATCTTCCTTACAATCTCTTTAAGAGAAATATCCCCGTCTTTTCTACAAAGTCTTTCATAGAAATATCCTTTCTTTCTTAGACAGAGTATGATAGAACGATGGAAAGTCCCATCTTTCCTACAATCTCTATGACAAAAATACCATTCTTTTCCTGGATACATCTATAACAGAAATACCCCTTCTTTCCTGAAAATCTCTAAAAATAGAAATACCCCTTCATTCTTACAGTCTCTATGATAGAAAAATACCCTTTCCTAGAGACCTCTTTAATAGAAATGCCCCTTCTTTCCTATAATTTCTATTATAGAAATACCCTACCTTTTTTAGATTCCTCTATAATAGAAATACATGAACCTCTTCTTTCTACAATCTTTATAATAGAAATACACCTTCTTCTGTACTTCCATAGGCATTCAGTGAAATAAACACAATTGACTCAGAAACGGATTTATTGACAGTAAAAAATCATTTGGCACAATAAATGTTCATAACAAACAAAGCAAGTTTCCATGCACCAATGATTAATGATAATTCTGACTATGAAATTCCCCTTGTCTTGAAAATCTAATTTGTTCATTTTATGAGTTATTTTTATGTTGACTATTTGATACTTATAATCTAACTAGCTTTTGTTCTAAAGATTACAAACATTCGAATGGTGAGATTAAATGAAATTTTTAACATCTACTTTATACAGAAAATATACACTACACAGATTGTCATTTGTTCCCTAATTTGGAGAAATGATGTTCAGCATCTTGGGAACACGAAATGTGCTGCCAAGGCAACAATAGGGGCTCCAGTGGGGATTCCTGGGAATGGTCCAGATGAACCAGCGATGTCCAGGTGGGAATAAGGCAATGGTTGGTCGGAATCTTTACCATGCTATAAACGAGATTAAATACATGCATCAGAAAGCATTACACATTGCAATCACTTTAGTTCAAAGGGCAATTTCCATGGACCTTCGAAAATTTGCAGGTTTGTAGGAAATCAACTACCTTATGATAGATCTCATTTGAAAAGATGCACCTCTTTAATAAATATTTAATTTATGGGTTTGTTTTCAAGCAATATTTTTATCTAATGCCTGTAAAATAAACCTTACCTTTTCCATTCCTGAGGCCTCTATCAGGAAGGCTGCTGGGGTTTGGTGACCGCGAGAGGTGGCAGATGATGGGGCATTGTTACATTGTAAAACTTCCTCATACTCAGATTTACCGCGGTGGAAATCATAGTCCTACAGCATGAAAATAAGTTTTAGAACAAGGATACAAGAGTTTGATAAACTACTAAGTAAATTCATAGTCTCAGGCAAGATTTTTACTATGAATGCAAGTAAGTGCCCCAGGCACTTAAGAAAAAAAAGTTGAAAAGAGGAATGCCAAAATGCCATTTTGTGTTTTTACACATTTTGCATGAATGCATTTATTTTATATTACCAATAATGTGTAGAAGGCATGGTTTTACTGTCTTCTTTTCTTTATAACTGACATTGTTGAATACATGATATATTTGTAATTTTTACCGATTTACCAGGTCAAAGTGATTCCTCTTTTATTTTGATCAGTATATACAAGAATTGGCATGAGTACTGATAGGGGCTTAGGCATTCATGTACAAAGCAACTTTCCATTATAAAGACTGCAGACTTACATCTCTCCTGATAGTAGAGATCTCAAAAGGATCCCCCCACGTATCCCCCGCCACCTGGATATTCTGAGCATTGTTCATGATCCTCGCTGGTCCATTGTCAAGAATGGCCTAAAAATATCAATCCTCCAATTTAAATGAGTACTTTAGGTATAGAAGAAAAATTCAAAGTTATTTAATTACAAATTACAGATCTGATCAATATTTATTGCAGTATTTTTTTTACATACTGAATAATCTGGTCCATAAGCTCTGATAACATGTCCTGTCAATGTTGCTATGGTGAATAGCTGTGGATTTACTGCACTCCTTGCCTTAAAATCAGTAACAATAAAGAATTCTGCTGATGCCAGTCATTTGCATATTTAATATCTCTTTTATAAAAAAAATTTAGCTTAAAAATCTCAATTCATGTGAATTTATATACCTGTTCCTTCAGGTAGCAAAGAACGTCAGCCATGGCCATCCGTCCCTCGGCATCTGTGTTCCCCACCCTAACTCTCACTCCTGCTCGAGAGGTGATGATCTCATCCGCCACATAGCAATCTAAAAGGAATAACAGTCATTAGATCACCTATCTTCCCTTTTATATAATTCCATGTGTAATATATACTATTATTGAAGAGTGGAATGAAATAGAAATACTTACTAGCACCTACACTGTTTCTGACCATTGCCATTGCTCCAACAACTCGTAGGCCTTTGGGTTTCATTTCATTTAAAATCTGTTGTAACATAAAAGAACATATATGAACTCATGAGGCACATGTTAGTACACCTTTCAACCAATAAAATTTGCTATTTTTGATATGGGTAAAAAATGAACAATTTTGTAAATGTAGGAAATGGGAGGTTTTAAATTTGAATCAATCACCTTGAAGAACCCAGCAACAGCTGCGGCCCCACATTTATCCCTGTGCATCCCCGCCATCACACCCCCAGCCTTGATGTCTGCTCCACCAGTGTCATAGGTCACACCCTACAAATAGGAAGTTCACATGCCTATTAGGGCCGTCCTTTACTTAGCTGAATACTCACATAGTGATGTCCTATATATAGTAACAAGATGAAGTTTTACCTTGCCAACCAGAAACAGGGTCTTGTCAATATCTCCTTCTCCATTGTACTCTAGGAAAATCATTCTCCCTTGGTGTCTCTCTACCTCTGTTTTAAAATAAAAGCTACATGTAAGTACCAACAACAGGACTGATCTTCCAAACTTTAGTCTTTCATGTTCCAATATTAGCTCTCTTATTTAAGTCAAGTTTATTTATTGTTGTTGTTTTACATACTCATCTAAGACAACAGCATTTTATACATTTTTTAATACTGTCTCTTTTTTTTTGATCAAATTCAAAATCTGTTCACAGACATAAAACAACTAGAAGTGAAAGGTGGGAATCATAACTCAAATTTAATACACTTTCCATGGAAAATATGACAATAGTTTTGAGCATGCAATAAAATGCCATATTTGGTCCCTGAGTTCACAAAATGTTGGTTGCACCCATTATCCCCTAACCTTAGACAGAAGCTGCTGTTTATACGTACGGTTAGCGGCTCTGTTTACAGCAGCATACAGTGGATACTCCTTCCTCAGAGTCTCGGGATCAGATATCACTGTCACCTGTATTCAGACCAAAAGCTGTTTTAGTGAATTGTCCAGCAATGCTCACTGATATTAAAGGTAAGTTCATTTGTTCCATTTCTAGTTTTTACATTCCAATAAACTGGTGGTTCTATTTTGCCATTCCTGTACTGGATTTTTTTGTGTTTTCTTTTTCAAATGAGGCTGTAACTTTTAAGTTCCTCATTATATAAAAAGAAAAATGTCAAATTAAAGTTAGTTGCATGATAAATAAAATTGGTTTACGTAAATCTATTTCTACTTGACCTTGATAGCAGAGTCCTTGAATGCTTCCTCCACATACTTGGCCACATTGGGGGCCGCCATCCTTTCAGGGTCTGATCCCCCAATATCTCTGGTAATAATCCTTTAAGAAAAATCAAAATTTAAAAAAATCATATATCACTATGTTTTCTTTTCTTTTAATTTCTTACTGGGGTATTTATGGTATACATTCATCTAAAAATAATGATCAGAAAATTTCTATAAAAAAAATCCAGATAAATAAAAAAAATTTATTTGTGGGAACATCCATTCTCATGGCATGTCCTTAATACATTGTATTTTTTGATGTTGACATTTTGGTTAACACAATAAATGTAAGTCTTTTTACACAGTACATTATATCCCATTACATTTGTACCTGCCAGACTCCACGGCATTGGCCAGGGCAATGCCCTGTTTGACTCGCTCCTCAGAATTACACCAGATACCTAAGGCCTCCACTTTGCAGGCTTTGGAGGGTACATCTTCTCGTATCTCCAGGGGCTGTAATGACCAGATTTGAATTTAACAACAAACCTACTTCAACAAACCATTAAAAAAACATGACCAAAAAAAAAGCAAGTTCCAAAGAGTGGAAATATTTTGTATATTTTACAGTTTGAATACATATACAGTGGGAGAACAGAACGGAAACATTTTGTATGCAATTATTGATGTTACATTTCCAGATTATATATTCAGAATCATTTCCTGGTTAGAACATTCTCACTATTTCCTGCTTTTACATGATGAAATCTGACAAGAGTACATGTGACATAAGAACATTACCACATAGAGGGCAGACAAACATCCCAGCGTGGTCACACTTCCTGCCTTGGGGAAACTGTTGTCCACGGGACGAACAAGGAGGGGGCGCTTACAGCCCGCCTGTAGGGCCCTGATACATAAAGTATACAAAATAATGTCTTTACATTTGTACATGAAGTACAGACAGTACATGTAATACACACTATTGCAAATTTGCAATAAAGTTCTTCACTTTATAAAATCACAGGAGGAAAGGAAGTTGTTAAATGAAATGCACAGCTGTCCATATAGTAAGGGAAGTTAATGATAGAATGTCCATTTTTCTTTAAACGAGTGTTATTTTCCTTGACTAAAACCCATTTCTAACTTGAGACACTTCAGTTTATCAGTGGTCTGATGATATACTTTACACACTCTCTGAGTGATGTCATTTACATTGTGTACAGGGGATCTGATCATGCATATTTTACACTTGGTACCTCTTGATTCCTTTCTCAGCAGCATCAGCAAACCTTCTGACGTCATCATAGTCCCTGTCCAGGGGACCAGTGGGGGCAAAGATCTAAAGTATACAATATATGTACATAAATGTTACCTCAGTTGAAATGAAAGTGTGTTTTTTTTTTTATCCTATAGATCATGAATATTACTAATAATGCTATATTGCATTAATTAGTTTCTACAGGAATTGGTCATGAAATATATGTATTTATATAAACAACATGAAAAAAGACAAAGTAAATATTCATTTCACAATAAATCAAAGTAAAATTCTATCAATAATCGACTGCAGAGATCAAATCAACCAATAAGTACAGTATACATACCAGTATGTACAATCATATTGTACGGTAGAATATTACATTTGATCATTTTGGGCAAATACTTCCATTAATTTATAAAACAGCTACGGTATATACCACTCATGTCTAGTTGATAATTGTATAGCAAGTAATGAGGTCATTTACCTATGAGATACATGTAAATCACTTGAATCACATGTACAAACAAGAGGCCCAAGGGCCTTGAATCGCTCTTCTGATAAATTGTACAACCTATCACTTGTATTTGAAGCCTCTAACCCTAAGTATCCTATTAAAGACCCAAGTTGCATCACCTGACAAAGTTTGATGATTCTTAGCCAAGTACAACTACTTTTTGGTCTACATTCTAAGAAATCACAAAATGCATCAAGTGACAAAGTTTGATAATTCTAAGCCAATAAATACCTGAGATATTCAAAAGTAGGTCACTGTGACCTACTCTTTGGTCAACATTCTCAGAAAACCCAAGAAGCATCAACTGACAAAGTATGATGATTCTTAACTAATAAGTACCAGAGATAATTAAATATAGCCATAAAATGTCGAAAGTAGGTCACTCTGACCTACATTTTGGTTGAGTCCCAAGATGCATCTGCTGACCAAGTTTGATAATTCTAAGCCAATAAAAACCTGAGATATTCAAAAGTAGGTCACCATGACCTACTTTTAGGTCGACATTCTCCGAAAATCCAAGATGCATCAACTGACAAAGTATGATGATTCTAAATCGATAAGTACTAGAGATACATAAATATAGCCATAAAATGTCAAAAAGTAGGTCACCGTAACCTACTTTTTGGTCGACATTTTCCGAAAACCCAAGATGCATCAACTTAAGAAGTTTGATGATTCTAAGCCAATAAGTACCGGAGAATACTTAAATATAGCCATAAAATGTCGAAAGTAGGTCATTGTGACCTACATTTTGGTTGACATTTTTTAGAGTCCAAAGATGCATCTGCTGACCAAGTTTGATAATTCTAAGCCAATAAATACCTGAGATATTCAAAAGTAGGTCACCATGACCTACTTTTTGGTCGAAATTCTCCGAAAACCAAAGATGCATCAACTGACAAAGTATGATGATTCTAAACCAATAAGTACTAGAGATACATAAATATAGCCATAAAATGTCAAAAGTAGGTCATCGTGACCTACTTTTTGGTCGACATTCTCCGAAAACCCAAGATGCATCAACTGACAACGTTTGATGATTCTAAGCCAATAAATACCTAAGATACTTAAATTTAACCATAAAATGTCGAAAGTAGGTCACCGTGACCTACATTTTGGTCGACATTTTTCAGAGTCCCAAGATGCATCTCCTGACCAAGTTTGATGATCATAGGTTTGAAGGTAATCAAAATATGCCTTTTAAACAATTTGAAAACAAATGCCTGCAAAATTCTAAAAGTAGGTCATAGTGACCTACTTTTTCTTAAATATGTTTTAAGGTCCCATGATGCAGCAACTTACAAGATTTGATGATTCTAACCCTTTCAGTGCCTGAAATAATGGGATTAAATGCATTGAAAAGGATAAGTCATAAAGTTCAAAAAGTAGGTCACTGTGACCTACTTTTAAGTTGATGTTGTTCAAGGACCCAAGATGCATCAACTGACTAAGTTTGATGATCATAGGCCTTGAAGTATCCAAAATATGCCTTTAAATCAATTTGAAAACAAATGCCCGCAAAATTTAAAAAGTAGGTCACCGTGACCTACTTTTGAGTTAACATGATGTGAAGTCCTAAGATGCATCAACTCACAAGATTTGATGATCCTAGTCCTTATAGTAAGCAAAATATGAACATTTTTATTAATTGTAAATTTAGGTCAACTTTAAAGTGACCTTGAGACCACGCCCTTTGCCCCAGGGTCATGCCTTGAACAATTTTTAATCTTCAACATATCCTGATCCTTGTATGTAAGTTTGGTGAAAATCTGCCTGGTGGTTCTGGAGAAGAAGATTTTTTAGCAACCAGTACTTTTTGTTTTGTTTTCCTGATTATCTCCCCTTGATTCAGGGTCCCAACCCTTATTTTAGTATAAATGGTAGCCCTTGGGCCAAGGATACCCTGTGACAAATTTGACACTGATTGGCCAAGGGGTTCTTGAGTTATGGCCCATATTCTAAAAAGTTAACGCACACCGCACACCGCACAAATGGCCATAGCATTAGCTCTTTGAGCCTTTGGCTCAGAAGAGCTAATAACAAGCTTACCAGTCGTCTAGAAGGAACAGCATCCGTGTCGATCAAAACCACCTCCTTATTGTAGGCAGAATCTATCTGTATGAAATAAAAATCAGCATTTCTCATTTATTCAAATTGAAATATCATATTACTGTTAAACCAATTCAGATCATCTTATACAGTTATAGTTATCATAAATTAAAAATATTTTTAAAGATGGAAATTAGTAGGGATTTTAAAATGTTTCTCGACTCCTTTACTCACTTTTGCATAGTTCTGTACTGCTGCAGCCACTCTGTCCAGCTTATTGTCTAGCAACTTTTGGACGGTGTCTGTAACCACCACCACCCCATCAAACTGGGGGTCATTTATGTCCAGGCATGGCAGGAGCTCTGGTAATCTGCAATGTTTTTATTTATAAACCTCACTTTATTTCAGCTGGGTTATATAAAACGGGATAAAAGCAAAGCAACGAAAGCGTGACGAAGCATACATTAAATAAAATTAACCTAGACAAATGGGACAACCAATAGTTTCACAACGTAGGCAGTTTTACTTTCACTTTGACTTCTTGAATTTCAATACTTGAATTATCATTCAATAAATTAAAAAAAAAAATTAATGACAAATCAAAAGTTCTTTTAAAATATACACAACCAAAATAAAATAGTTTACCCATTTTTCGCCGGCATCTTATTCTTCGTCTGCTCACAGCTGTAAGTAGGATCTTAGTGCTGTCACCTGACTCTGATAAGGAAGAATAATGGGGTCAACCAGCATCGTGTAATACTACTTCAAGTACATGGCCGAGTCAATACGACTTCTCATTCAATATAATTATCCAAACACGTTACTGTCTCTTATTGTACTAGGAATATCTCATACTTTAGATCGCTTTATTTGAAAAAATTGAAGGAAAAAAAGACAAAAAATTTTGAAAGCCATGCCAGCGTATTTTTTTAAACATACATACTTTGGGAAATTTTATCCAAGACAAAATGTATAAAATCTCTGGCTAATCCAAACAACAAAGGTCAAAATTTAACCAGCACAATTTTTCTCTCATTAAATTAACCCGTAAGAAACAATAACAATAGTTTTATAATAATTTCTTTGACAAATAACAGAACCAACAACTAACTCTGCACATTGAGATTTACGGTCAGACGCTAAAATAGATCTACTTTTACACCAATCTTCAACTTTCAGTTTCGTAATAAGTACATGTAAATACTAGTAGTAATTTAGTAAAGAAGGAATGTGCAGACCACTTATCATCATTAGCATACAAATATACTATCAATGACCTGATAAAAAGAGTTGTCATCTGACTATATCGTGGCGTTCGTAACTTCTCGGGACAAATCGACTCTGTGAACAATGCGTTTTATCCAGTTTGAGAGGGGCGGAGTGAGGCAGGTGGGGGTAGAGGTACGCGATGGAGGAGACGTCGTGGATTTACGTGCAGGAGACTCTGCAATTCCAACAGACATGCGAAGTTTTATTGAAGGTGGACAGAAGAACTTACTTGCAGCAAAAAGGTAGGCCCCTTGCTCCCTCCAGCGAGGTATATAGTGCTGTTACATGTAAGTGGCGGATCCAAGAAAGATGATAAGTAAAAACGTGAAAATACTGTAAAATCACATATTTTCGAGGGATCAAATTTTCGTGGTTTGAGAAAAAGAGGGTTCATGAGAATTTGATTTCGAGCTTGAAGAATTTGTGCAGTAGTATTAACTTATGTGAAAAATTGCATTTCGTGGTGGACATAATTACGTGGCTTTCTTCATACCTTCAAAAACAACAACAATTGAACACCCACAAAATTGAGTAATTTCACGGTATATAAATACAATACCCATAATATTAAAAAGCTATTCACTGTTCCAAGATGCAGATGAATTACTTAAACTTTTATAGCAGCCAGATGTTGTGAAATGATGAAGTTTACTACTGGGTCTAAACACAATCATTTCAAAATCGAGTATGTTTAGAAAACTAAATCCATCAACCTTTTAAATTATACATTTGGTAAAAGTTATTGAAATACATGTATATCAAATATTAATAAACATAGTCACAGCTGAAAATTTAAACAACTGTGACGAAGATCGCCTTAAATTAACAGTTTAACTGACTTAAACTTGGTTATAGTTGACACAAAATGGTTATTACGGGAAATGTCGATTTTGCCACTATAAATTTTTTAAAACAAATTTGGTTGCAAAGTTATTGGTGATGATACCAGAAGATTTTAATTTGCATTTTTCTTAGACATTACGACAATTCTATAATTCATTATGAATTTCTGGTACTATGGGACTTGAAAATAAATAATATCGATTTGCAAGAAAAATCTCTCCTTGTCAGTTGTTGTGTGCCCCCCCCCCCCTCCGCCGATCGAAAATATTTTTTTTTGGGGGGGGGGGGCTTTTTAAAAAATGTTCCAAAAAAGAAAAAAAAAAATAATTAGTCTTTAATCGTCTTTAAAACAAAATAATCCGTCCTTGACTGGCATGAAAATAACTAATATGACTTTATAAAATTTTGCCAGGCCTCACCTCAGAATATAAAATGGTCCCCATATATTCAATTTTCATGGATTTTTGTTACATATACATGTCATATTAACCAGTAAGTTGAAAGATTTCCACTTCTTTTGATTCATGCAATAAAATATGCTCAAAACAAAACAGATAGGGGTGTAATTGATAATAAACGATATCTTATAATTATATAAAGGGGGGGGGGGGTATTTTAATTTTTGACCTAGTGATATCTATTTATTCGGGTACATGTACCTACAGTGTTTGAATTAAAAACACTATAGTTTATATGATGCCAGTTGAAGAATCTACCTATAGATACGTATAATTTATATTGGGCAAAGAGGTCATAGCTCTTATCTCTTTCAAGCGAAATACGATTGATTGAGTGGTGCGCGGATCCAATAAAAGCGGTCAAAACTACGATTAAAACTTTTTATAGTTGTTGATCTTTAAATTTGATTATTTGGATACTTGCATGCAGCTTATCTGAATGTTGCTTGCATTAATAGTATTTTCTTAATTCAAATTTTTGTGGAAGTGCAAGACTTGAATTCTTCCTTAATATATTATTTTATGATACGAAAAATAATCTTAATTCTTTTGGACAGTGTGATAGACAGAGGCGGATCAATCATTCCGAGGGATACTGTCAAAGTGGTAGCTCCTATCTATAACCCAGACAAAGTACTATGTGTGGGGATGAATTATAAGGACCACTGCGAGGAACAGAACGCACCCGTTCCCGTAGAACCGGTCATCTTCAACAAGTTCCCCAGCAGCATCATAGGTCCCACGGAGGACCTAGTGTACCCCGAGGAGACGAAGGTCAGATTCTATTTAAATCAGCATACTTACTGTTTAATGTAGAATTTTATTGATTTAATGAGGGAACGAAATATCAAAAGGTTAGAATCTTCTTGCTTGCATGCCCTGACGATTATTTAATCCTACAGGTGGTATTTCAGTAAAAAAAAATTTCAAGTGTAATGTCAGGCGGTAAATTTTGTATTTACCTCCATCCCTTCAATTCAGACTTTATATTAAACCATGACAGTAAATTATTATACCCCCGTGTGAAAAGTGGGAGGGTATACTGTAATCGGTATGTCCGTCCGTCTGTCTGTTACGCTTTGGGGTACCCATCTCTTATTCGTAACTCCTCTTATATCACTGAGTGAAATTTGAATTTAATGAAACTTTCACAGAATCTTTATTACATATTGCCATTGTGCACCTCCTATTTTACTTTTTGATCCGACACATATTTTGGGTTTCCCGGCCACAGTAAAACATGGACTTTTCCATTATATAATCATATGGGAGGCGGGTGGTATCATTTAGTGAGCTCATTGCTCACAATACCTCTAGTTTATGTTTCATTTGGCATATTTACAGGTACACAGAATTTCTCAATATGTTATACTTGTGTAAAAACATCTTTGTTGAGAAAACAATACGTGGAATAGGGATTGTATGAAATAAAATAAATGTGAAAAGCTCTTGAACAAATCTTGAAATTTAAAAATGGGGAAGGGGGTACATTTATTAATTTACACGTCTATTCAAAGAAAGATAACTTAGGTGTATATACTTGCAAGTTTTCTGTAAGCCCCTGTTGGTAAAAATTACAGATCACCGTCTCGAGCCACGGTCCGTAGTCCGCATATAGCTCTCTCCGGAATAGGAGAGGATCGTGCATTTTGGCCGTGGTTTGCGACGATGAGCATAATCTCAGCTATAAGATAAATTGTTTTCCCACTTAGTAAAAGAAAAAAATAATAATTTTCAGAAGTTGGATTGGGAAGTAGAACTGACAATTGTCATTGGAAAAGAAGCCAAGCGTGTTCAGGTATACTCCTACAATCCTATACAACTCTGTCTATTTATAAATGTCAGATTTGATCGGTTTCTTTAATTTTCCATTTTTAAAAATAAAACTTAATCCCTTGCAGGAAAAAGATGCCATGAATTACGTTTTTGGGTATACTGTTGCACATGACGTCAGTGCGCGTGACTGGCAGCTAGAACCTGGAAAGAATGGTGGGCAGTGGTTGATTGGAAAAGCCATGGATGGTTTCTGTCCCCTAGGACCCGCCATTGTCATGAAAGAGGACCTAAACGGTCAGTTCCAGTGCTATGTCAAATAGATTGAGGTGTAAATATAAAATTCATGATTGACTGACAACAGTATTGCATCTGTATTTTGAAATATTCGTGGATGAATTATATGGAGATAACAAACAGTATTCAACCTCAAAAGTTCATCCAAACAATATAAATTAGAAGTAGGGCAAATAAAGACCACTGCATCGCTAGAGGTGGGATCAGGTACCATGGAGGAGTGAGCATCCCTTTTAGCTGCCGACCGGTCACGCTCGCTTTTTTCTCCTCGTCACAATCGAGAAATAACAGAAAAATCTATATCAGACAATTCAGTGTGTAAAAGAAATGACCTAATGATGAAAAACGTCCATCAGCATGCGTTTGACTTTATAATGGAAGATTGTGTCTGCTGCCAAGGTCATTGTAACACCATAATTTATATATTGCGAAATGATGACTTTAAAAAAAAGACTCTTGATATTCTTGATTCATCATCTTCTTTGTCAATATTACTTACCTTTATAATTGTTTAAGGAATTGTTCGTATGTAGAGCATGCTTTTGTTTATCGAATAATTTTGATATATAAACCCAATATACAATTGAGAAGAATATATTACTCCACAAGGATTGAAAAGTTCAAGCCATCACGTTTATAACATTTGACTTACTTGTACTAATTTTTGGGACAGATCCTCACAATCTGGGACTGCGGTGTAAGGTGAATGGCGTCACCAAACAAGACAGCAACACAAATCAGCTGGTACACAAAACGGCTGCCATGGTAACATTTATATCTAGGTAAGCTTACTTATTTTACATTCAACAAACCACAATTAATTTGCGGGAAATGTATTTTGCTCTACTCAGCAAAAAAAAAATTTCTATGCTTAAAGTCTTGATAATTTACAACTGGGAATTACACATATCCGAAAACTGGTCCTTTTTAGCTCACCTGAGCCAAAGGCTCAAGTGAGCTTTTCTGATCACATTTTGTCCGTTGTCCATCTGTCTGTCCGTCTGTAAATTTTTCACATTTTCATCTTCTTCTCAAGAAGCACTGGACCAATTTCAACCAAACTTGCCACAAAGTATACCTCGTAATTACACTTTTTGCGTAAATTCAAATTGCATCATAATGGATTTTGCTTAATTGCACTTTTTGCATTATTATGTTTTTTTTTTTGTGTGTGTTTTGGGTTTTTTTTTAACAATGCACTATATGACGCCTTTCAAATATCTAATCCTTAGAGAATTTTAAACTTTACGAATGTTTTTTTGGAAAGATGACCATATTCATGCATGTAAGTTATTGATCCTCCGGTTTTATTACTTTTTTAAAACTTTAGTCTCGTATCGCTAATGTATGTTTGAATGATACATAGGACATGTGAATTTCAAATACTAAAACTCGTCTTTTTGTTTATTTCTTGGATTTTAGATTTATGACACTGAAACCAGGAGACCTAATTTTAACGGGAACCCCGCCTGGTGTCGGGGTCTTTAGAAAACCCCCAGAATACCTCAAGGTGAATATTTTATATGTTAAAAGAAAATGCACGTACATATTTATTTTATTCATGTTCAAATGCATACTTTTAATTTTAGACTTCTATAAGTCTTGCAACTTGTCACTTGAAAAAGATTGAAAGGATTCATAAAATTACGTTACGAATCAAACTATGTACATTTAAACAAAGGCCCAGCAATTGATATATGATGTCCCAATTATAGCTTATATTTGATAGCAAGGGCATTATAATGACCATAGAATTTACGAAATGCTGGCTTTAAAGACGTTGTTGAAATCCCACTATCATCAACTTATCTGTCAATAGCCTGCATCAGCTTAAAAAACGACTGTACTTGGAACATAATAAACTGGGAGATGTAAAAACCTTGTTGAATATGTTGAGTTGACATATAAATGGAGGTAACTATTGTTATTACTAATAACTGGAAATAACTATTGTTAATTAATAACTGGAAATACAGTGTAATTGGATATTAAGTCCTCGATTTAACTGAAAGTCAAGCTGAAGATTAAAGCAAGTGTTTTCTTGTGTTGATTTTTTTTTGGATGAATTCTGCTTCATAGGAATATAAAAACAGGGTGCCTTAAGAAGGTGCACAATCAGTGTCTTTTGGAATTCCAACAGTTTGTTGGAAGACTTGGTCTCTGAAGACTTCATAACTGACGTCAATGGGGAACTTTCAGTTTCAACTTCAGAGCACTTTTGTGACGAATCAGCAATTTTAACGAAGTACTGACAGTAAACTTTGTCGATATCCAATCAGAAGATGTGAAATAAAAAGCAGTTCTTTATTAAATCAAGATGCTTTTTAACATATGGTTCACCAATATATAATTTACTTTGATGTGTTTAGATTACAGCATGTATCGTACTTGACTCTTAGATGAATTGAGATTAAATTTATTTTGTTTTTCAGAGAGGCGACATAGTGGAGTGTGAAATTGATGGCATTGGAAAAGTTGTCAACAAAATAGTGTAGAGAACTGTCCACAAAATAGAGTAGAGAACAGTCAACAAAATAGTGTAGAGAATTGTCCAAAAAAAATAGTGTAGAATTTTACTGTAAACAAAATAGTGTTGACTTTTGACTCTCAACAAAAACTAGTGCAGAATTAAACTTTTATTGTGTTTTACATGTAAGGGAACTTATTGATTTCGATATTTTAAGAAAATCGTAGCCATACGTCAAGTGATGCAACCCAGAAACGTTTGTTTGAATGGTCAACTGGGGATCTGTAGATTAACTATTATAAGGAAATAATTTTATTTGATTGACAAGTAAAACAAAATGAAATTTAACGTTTAATCTGTAAGGGAATTGAATCCCGCTTTCTTTCATGCGTAATATGACAGTGCAGAATTCAGGTGCAATAAAACTTTTAATAGAATGAGTGTTTTGATTTGCCATTTTATGACCCAGAAGCGCAATTAAAGCTCACAAATTGCATTCGTACAAGAATTTCAAATAGTTGACATTGTATCGATCATTATCGGCCATTTAAATATTCTATATAGAAAAGGAGTATTAATGCCATATCTAATTCATACATATGTAACATATATTTGTTACAATCTGCACATGTTTCATTTTGAATTTCGGTACTCACAAATACCCGTATTACTTTCTGGAAGTTCAGATTTCTGTAGTCTGAAATGGTAAATTTGATTAACTGCTATATAGCATATGGGTTTCAAAATCTATGAATATCACACATAATGTTTTAAGCACCGTTTTTTTCCTAAAAATCCTATTAGAAAATTAATTAATTGTTATTCAGTGGTTTTTATTTTTGATTCGTTTTGAAATGTATTTGAGTTCGTTTGTGTTGTATCTTCTAGAAATTTCCGACTATGCTTTGAGTCTGCAGATCCGGTTCTTAAACGTTCTGTAGATTCAGATCGATAAAAGCGTTCAGTTGACGCGGATCGAATTCGATTGATTCTTCTTGTGAAGTTTATATTTGTGGATTCTTCGACCCAGCGAATGAGTCGAGAATCGACTTTTGTGTCTTCGTGAATCCTCACTTTTTCTTTTTCACCGGAGTTCAGTGCGTCGTGGACACCAAGGTTATGTACATTTAACATAGCCTGGGTTTCATACTTTCTTCCAAACTTAGCTTGAGTTTCTTCTACAACATAAGTATTCACACTAGGAATTATTTCTGAATCCTCTCGAAACAACTCTTTTCCAATATTATCTGGAAGTCGGTACGAAAACTTGACCTTCTTTTCTTCGGTGGGAATGGGCGATTTGCTCCCGCTCAGTGGTCTAGAAGTAGAGGATGTGGGACGTAATGGAGAGCCCACTCGTTGTCTGGCAGACGTGGGTGTTCTAGGACGGGCGTGTAATTTTGAGGAAACAGATATTCTCGGTGCTATAGGAGTAATATTCGTGCGACTCTTTTTGTCCAGCTGAAGAGGAACACGTCGGATTATGTAGTCTGATTCACGAACAGTACTGTTTGGGGCTAAATAACTGTTTTGATTGTTGATTTTCAGACGTCTTTTGAATACTTGTAATGAAGTATGTATCTGGGCCTGTCTTTGCGCTGCTTCGGTTCTGCGTAATATTAATGGCACAGATTTATGAAGTCCAGAGGAAGATTTTATAGCATTGCCACGAACTTCATATCCTGGGTTTTGATTTTCTGGTACGTAGGCATTGCTGTCCTCCATCTTAAATCTAACTGTTTTAGCACTTGCTGTTCTTGGGTCACTCTGAATCAAGTGATCATCCCTGTGTGAAACGTCCCCAAAATCCAGCGCGGGGAAGCGATTGGCGCCTTTACTTCGCGTCTCTTTTAGCATTTTCAAATGAATTCTTTTTACCTTTTCATTCTGTTTGTCTTCTTTTGTCTTTATCGGTTCAATGGGAGCGATTCCTCCTTTCTTCTTTAGCTGATATATTATTGCAGAATCATCGACATTCATATCGATGTTTTCATCAGTTTGTTCCTTTACCAGTTCAATGATATGTTGTCGAAGTTCATTGGCTACATCTGTTCTCAGAGGACTGCGCATGCGTCCTTGACACTGACTGTGTACAGTGGCTGGAGTACACACACGTAACATGATTTATATATTGGTACTTCCACTGCAAAAGAACAAATTTTGGAAAATTACAACCTGCTCATATTCCAGATTTTTCATCAATAAACAACATACATGTTGTTGAAAGGCTTTCCTTAAAACCCTATGTAATAGGGCTCCTGTCATACCCATGTTATATACTTTCTCTTTTATTTCGCCCTGACAAGTAGTTAATAAACAAGTTAATCCGATCTAATTAAACCTTTTCTATCAAAGTAACACAGTTCTATTTAATGCTCGAAAAATCAAATCCAGAGTTAAGAAATTTTAGGCAAAGTTAATAGTGCTTTAAAAGAAAACCGTCAAGGTGGGAAAATACAATTTCTAAATAAATTCTATTAAGACTTGAAATTCCTAGAGAGTAATGAATTGACTAGTAAAAAAAAAAAACAATGAAAACCATCTCTTACCCGAGTTTACACCAAATTCATAAACTACGTCATCTTAATAGATCATATTCCAAGACCTTGTATTCGAACCTTCCGTCTAAATTGATAACGAAACACAAAACCTCCTGGTTTGTCAAGATACACTCAAAACATATCTAGTTATAATCTTCAGAGGGGTCAAACCATTTCACATATTACAATCCCTGGACTATACAGATTTAATATATCCCGTTAATTTAATTACTAAGGTTTGTCGTACACGAACGGTTTTCAAAGATTTAAATGCATGTTTTGTTGATTGTATTAAATAGCGGCTTTATCGTGCTGGTGAATCGCATATACGGAATTAAAGCTGGATTTGGAAAACATAAGTATTCGTCCTCAACAGGCAGAGTCACGCGCCTCTTGGAGATAACATTGTCCCCTTTTGTCAAGGAGGGGTCCTACCGACTTATATCTTGTCTTTTTTCCCTCTACTTTTAAGCAAATTTTGACAATTGCATTCAAATATTACAATCCAGTGGTAGGAAGAGAAAGCTCTTTACACCAATTTTAAATTCTTTTTGCAAAGAAAGCATGTTGCTCAGAGCATGAAAAAAATCAAATGAAACTCTTGGTAAAGCTTTTATTTTCAAAAACCAATAATGTACATTGAATATTCAAAAACCTAGTCTTTAAATAAGTGTGAGGAGGTTTTATGTTTCTTTTTAATGTAAGACGTCTTTCTGCCTACTCAACTATTAAATGACGTCGATTTATTCATAAATATCTTAAATGAAATGGCACCAATTTAAAGATAAAATGTACATCAAATTCAGTGACACCTGTATTGCGAACTTTATCACACTGAGGAATTATTAGAAAAAACAAAGATTTTCACCATCTTTTTGCTGGAATTATTGCTTACTTTTAGTTTTCAATATCAAAACGTTTTACTTACTGATGAAGAATTTCCGTGCTGAATTGCAGAACTTGAACGATTACTTTTTAAGTTTTCTTTTTAACTAAATTTGTCAATAATCCATAAGGTTGAAGTTTAGAATAAACAAATTAGATGTTAACCGGTGGGTGGATGCTTAATAAAGATATTTTGTCATGATAGGTGTCAATTTCCGCGTCTTGATAAATTACAATTGTTTGGCATTGTCTTTACTGGGTCACGTGATGTAGTTTTTGAAGTGACGTCACTGCACCTTTCTTGTTTTAAAACTCCTTGCTTTATCAGAAATCTATTCTTAGCAGGAGTACCTCTGTTCATTCGTAATCGACGCATTGATAACCTTGGTTGACTGGCGATACCCCTGCTGAATTCGTCGTTTACTTTAACCTACGTGTCACTTCTTGCCATTTTACAATGGAATTATAGATTAGCAATTAGCTTGGACAGAGACATTGACAAGCTTTTAATATTACAAATTAATCTACCGTATGAAACAGATTTTTTAAATATTTTAATTTTTGTGATAGAAACATCAGTTTTATTGTCTAGGATCTAAAAGCCCTAACATTTAATTTAATAAAAAAATAATAACCGCGCATTTCTAAAAGAAGAAGACAGCAAACACACGCCTTAATGTTATCCAGAATTATCCATGGTGGACTGTGTCTTAATCATTGACAGTAATCTGCTATTATTTACATACTATAGTAAAATAGCAATGTGTCAGTCTAATAAAATGAAAAAAAAACTTGCAACGTACGAAACCATGCAATATCAACTTATGTGTGAGTAGCCTGTCTCAGTTTAAAAATTGATCGTAATCTGAGCATACTTTCTTTCAGCGAAGAAGTTGAGAAACAATTACACCATATGCGGGTGAAAACCGAATATTACTGGACATAAATAAGGACAGTTTACGGTAGAAAAGCTGAAGTTACTTTGTCATACAATATAGTTGGCCTTTGTCGTCTAAAGCATCTATCAGGCGCTTGGTTTCAGGCTGGTGTATTTTGTGTATTATGTGGTTTTCTAGGTGTGTCTGAATACCCTCATCAAAATAAAATTTCGCTGAAATTAGCACGTTTTAAAAATGTCATATTTACTGTATATAAAAAGAGTACTCTTTTTATATACAGTAAATATGACATTTTTAGTGCTAATTTCAGCGTTTTAGTTCACCTGAGTTGAATGCTCAAGTGAGCTTTTCTGATCACATTTTGTCCGTCGTCCGTCCGTCTGTCTGTCTAGCTGTCCGTCCGTCTGTAAACTTTTCACATTTTCGACTTCTTCTCAAGAACCACTGGGCCAATTTTAACCAAACTTGGTACAAAGCATCCTTGGGTAAAGGGGAGTTTAAATTGTTAAAATGAAGGGCCCAGTCCCCTCCCAAGGGGAGATAATCAAGAAAAGACAAAAATAGGGTGGATTCTTCTCAAGAACCACTGGGCCAGAAAAGCTGAAACTTATGTGGAAGCATCCTGGGATAGTGTAGATTCTAAATTGTTCAAATCATGACTCCCTGGGGTTGGGCGGGGCCACTATAGGGAATCAAAGTTTTACATAGAAATATATAGGAAAATTCTTTTAAAATCTTAAATCTTCTCAAGAACCACTGGGCCAGAAAAACTGAAACTTATGTGGAAGCATCCTGGGGTAGTGTAGATTCTAATTTGTTCACATCATGACCCCCAGGGGGGGGGGGGGGTAGGATAGGCCATAATTTGGAATCATATTAGGTTATTAGAAGGGGAAAATCTGGTAAAGAACAGCATGGTCAAAGCCACTCAGTTGAGCGATGTGACCCATGGGCCTTTTGTTTATTTTTATTTTAATGAGGGTATTCAGACACACCTAGAAAAACACATAATACACCATCCTGAAACCAAGCGCCTATGGTCAGTAAATTAAAACATCCAAATATGAAACAACTGGCAGACTCGGTATAATCTTTTATTTCAAATTCAGATGGATATTGTTGTTACTTGATAAAACTTCGTCGATCGATTCATCTGAGTTGAGTTGTTTTCTTCTCATGGAAAAGTTTTTGAATAAAATATTCAATATATTCAAAGCAATACTAAAATAGGTCGGCTAATAAGGAATTCTATCAATTTGTTGGATGACTAAGTCTTCGAAGACTGCATAATTGTTGTTGATGAATGACGTAGAATGTGAGTGATTTTTGAATGACGAAGTTATCTTGTTGATGAACATATTCTTAGTCGTCAGATAGGATTCTTTGATCCACTCATATGCAAGTAGCGATCTATGTGAGCGGATCAAAGGATCTGATTTGAATCAGATTGATCAATAAGCATTTCATTACGGAATGGAAAGAGGGATAACTCTACTTTGCATACTTGCTCTTGCTCTGTGTAAGGGATTTTAAAATATACGTTAATTGTCTATAGACCAATAAACTCCATTGTTCTGAATATTATGTCATCTGACAACCAAAGAAAAAAGAAAGAAAGAAATAACCAAAAAAGCCACACACACTGAACAAAACAAAACATAAGCGAGTTTATTGGTCTGTTTAGAGACGACTATACAGCGTTAGAAGGTGAATAAAATACGTCCAGGTTCGTTGAAGAATATCTCTAGAATTAGGGAGTGAAAGGTAGATGATTGACCAATGCTGGAGAGTG